GTCATACTAATATACGACCGCAAAAATTTTTTGCGGTCGTATAAAAAGCGGGCAAGTGTATGTGGTCTAAGCTTCATTAAGATTACAAAATAACACACATTTTCAATATCACTTCAATAAAGCCCAAAGAGTAGAACCTAGTCACTATCTGTGAATGCTAGTTCGACCATTCTTGTGCCACTTAGATCCCATGGTTTGACTACTTTCTTGAAATTGAATAATTATCTTATTTTGCTAATTTTATAAATGCATAACACCCGAATCAATAACGATACAAATTTAATATTCTCGAGCCACCTTTGCTATGTTTGATTGTGCGGCCGTCTTTTTTTTCGCAAGCCAGGAGTACTCCCACAATACCCCATGAAAATTCATAGTATCAAGGAATCAAATTGTCAGTCTTCAAGTGTCCTGTCCATTTAGCATTCGAATGAAATGATCACATAACCTGCTCTCCATTACATAGCTGAAATAAAGCCCACTTCGCGTTAAACCAAACAAATCCTGAATCCATCTGAAATACATTTTTGTTTTCGAACAGCAGCCAAGTTTGTAGCAAAACATTTGAAAATACCTCAAATCTTCATTTTATTGTAAGAGAAATGCACACAAATTGTGGGTGTTTAGATACTCCTGCGTGAGCTGTGAATGCTTCTTTGATAATATTGACCTGGCAAGTTGAAGAAATGAATTCAAATTATTTAAATTTTGATTTACTTTGATAATGTGGAAAATCAAAGTGATCTAAAATCACTAATGGAAAGATTGGAAGAATTGTGTGTATAATTTCAATCATATTTTATAATTCCATAGCAGTAAAGGTGGACAACAAAAACTTGCTATGATTTTATTAAAGAAATCCCTATTTAGTATTTGTTAGTTTCAATTAAACATACTGTTAATGTATCAATACACTTAAGTAAAAAGACAAAACTAAGCCAGTAATTAAAAGTAATGACTATTGTTTTTGATTGATTGATTGATTGATTGTTGGTTGCTTAACGTCCAGTGGCAAATATTTCATGCATATTCAGGACGAGAACAAATTAACAATAAATACAATAGGTAGGTTCTGTAATAGACGCGTCCGGGATTAAGGTCTAAATTTCTTTCCAGTTCACTTGTGCTAATGTACACAGACATGAACACAATTGAGAACTATATGTCAGAGTGTATAGATTTAGTAGTTAATCTGTCCACTTTCTGTTTGGAGGCCGGTGCCTGAAGAAAAATCCATTACCATTTTCGCGGGAAATAAATAATTGCAGAACCAAATGTCGGTTTACTGGCGATGTTAATTACATGCAGACAGAGAGTTCAATACCTAACATAGTTGAAATAAAAGTACAGAAGCTACACAACAACATTAATTACTATTCGAAGTCTGCATTACTTAATTCTTGATATGAAAATGCAAGGATGTGTTCTACCCCTGCATGCCTAGCTTTCTCCATTTTCTTTTCTTTTCGTCTTCTTCTTGTTTGTTTTTTTGCCATAATCTGCCTCGTCAGTAGGTACGGCCCTGCGAATTCGGCAGCATTTAATATTTTGCGACAAACAAATGGAAGTTTTTAACGACCTTGACTGGCTATACAGCTGGCGACAAAACACCTCTGATCATAGATTTAACGGTTCATCGGTTCATTAGACCCCACTGCCATTACAATCTCTGTTTTAATTGGTTACTATGTTTTGGCGGTTTTTTCTATTGTTCTAATTTTTCAACTCATACCATGATGGAATTCATTTGGAAGGTCAGTTTTATTCTTTCTTTATTAATAAAATGGTCTAGTAATAATTCATAAGTGTTACTTATACACAGAATCAACGTTTATTTTAGCAGAGACATGTAGACATATATATATATGTCTCATATTTTAGTAACTATCGAAAAGGAGAGTTAATCCATTATAAAATGACAATCAGAAGAAAAGAAGATTTTACGGTTATATTTCATAACTCAGTAATCTTATTTAGATTTGTTATACTATGATATTTAGTCTGGTTTATATATGACTTGTGTTTACCAATTGATTGACTAAACGTTTCGGATCGAGTAGACCGATTAGACCTATAACATGAGACTTCGTAGGTTCTAACTTCATATCGTTTGCATTCAGCGTTTTTTTTATCGGTTATTTTTGTTTACTATCAATGTTCGTGGTTCAGCATGGATAGTAAAAAAAATATCCGATAAAAAACGTTGAATGCGAACGATATGAACCTACGAAGTCTTATATTATAATATAGGACTAGTAGACCGGTATGAATGCTATTTTGTGTAAATCGATTGGAAATAACACGGCATAGAAATAAATAGAAATAAGAATAGTTCTATAAATGATCAAATGGGTTAAATTTGAATTTTTATCATAAACAGATATTTTTTTTTGTAAACTGATGAATTGAGCCCTTTTCAACTGATCTTTATAGCTTGTTCCTATGTTGTACTGTACAACACTATCCCAGGTTAGAGGGAGGGTTGGCACCTTCAAACTAGCTTAACCCTGCCATATTCTGTTTGTGTCTGTCCTACGTCAGGAGCCTATAATTCAGTAGCAGTTGGTTTTTGCTGTATATCATTTTGTTTTTTCTTTCATGGTTTTGTACTTAAAATCGGGCTGTTTTCTCATTTGAATTGGTTTTGCATTGCATTTGTCATTTTGGGGCCTTTCATATCTGACTATCTGGGAACAAACCCTCTATATGGTGTTTATACCTGTACAGAGGAATAACCCTTCTAAAGAAGGATAATTATCCCTCTATAGAGGAATATAATTGTTTGTATAAAAAAGAAGATGTGGTATGATTGCCAATGAGACAACTCGCCACAAGAGTCCAAATGACACAGAAATTAACAACTATAGGTCACTGTTAGGCCTTCAACAATGAGCATAGCCCATACTGCATAGTCAGCTATAAAAGGCCCCGAAATTCACAAATGTAAAACAATTCAAACAAGAAACTAATGACCTTATTTATATATACAAAATAATGAACGAAAAAAACAAATATGTAACACAGCAACAAACGATAACCACTGAATTACAGGCTCCAGTCTTGAGACAGGCACATACAGAATGTGGCGGGGGTAAACTAGTTTGAAGGAGCCAACCCTCTCCTAACCTGGGACAGTGGTGTAACAGTACAACATAAGAACAAACAATAAAAATCAGTTGAAAAAGGCTCAACTCATCAGATGGATACAAATGGAAAAACATCTAACAAAAACACAGAGTTGACGTGGACGGGTACTTATACATCCCAACAACAAAAAGACATTAAGTACAGATCTGAGAGTACTTGCAGTTACTGACAGCTAGTTCAAAGCCAATAACAACTAATAAAAAAAACAATGCATCTAAGACTAAATTATCAATCAGTTCACATCCAACATCTAATGGATTTAGTGTAAAGACGCCATAAACAGTCAGAGGAAAACATGACCTTGTGCAATGCCAAGATACAGGATTATTATTATTATTATTAGATGGATTAAAAGCAAAACATGGCAAATGTGCATTTTCTACTAATTGTGGCAGTAACCTGCAACATTTGATGATCAGGTCAATTCCACTCAGTTATGCCTCAATGAACAGATTTTTACATATATGTAAGAGAATGATAATCCCTTTCTTCATGATTAAGTACAAGTGTTATTGAGTACTTATCATGAAGTAAGGGATAATCATTCTCTTGTCAGTGTAAATTAAATGTTTATAATTGATGCATAACTTCATTTTCAGCATTTCATTTATGGGTTAGTTTTAGTGATGTAAGGACTGTCTTATAATTTGGGAGATATTTTTAAAATGCATTATAGACATTAGGTGACACAACAGTAAAAAGAAAAGGTATGAATTGTATATGTTTCGAATGTAAATCATGAAATATTTTAGTGAGGAATTATCCTTTTTTTATTTACAGTTTAAATCAATAAATACATTTGAGTTACAACTAATTTTATTTCACAGCCAATATTTTGGTCCAGCTTTATAAATCAAAAAACTATTTCATTATGTCAGGGAAATGATCTAATAAAATGCATTTAAAAGTTTAAATATATTCAAAACCTAAATCAATTTCCTGGTTTTTTTTATTTCTTTTATCAGAATATTGGAAATAACTATTCTTCCCAACCTCCGGTTCAGAAAGATAAAAATTTAGGTTATTTTTTATTTTAAAACGTTTTTCTTCTTTTTTTTGCATTGCTTTGATATTGTTTTTAGTAATTTGAAGTTTATTAATATTTTCATAATGACATTAAACATACAAATTTTACAAGATGATGATGTAGGTATTTTTTCGTTACAATTGTACTTAAACTGTTAATAGTTGTAAGGTAATAAAATCAGTTTTCCCTGGAGAAACAGCTTGAAAATTTATTACAAATTAGTCCAAAATTTCTTTTCAAATTTAGACTCTAATGAAAAAAGTATACTTGTACTCCAATTTAGGATTTGAATTAAAACATGCATCACATTAATTTCTGAATTAATTAAAACAGCAAATAGTCTCTTCACATTGACAATTTGGAAACCCTTTCTCTAATAGTCTCACCTGTACGAAAGTAAAGTTTCCGATTGTCAATTTGGATATCTACATATTTAGTCGATTTTTTTTTAAGTAATTTGGAAAATATGACTTCATTTAGAGTGTTTGAAATTCAGTTGAATTTTAATCATTTCTGTTCAAAATGTATACATTAGATTGTTTTGGTTAGCCACCAACTTCTGATAATTTGACACGCACATTAATTTCGGAAATAATGATTATATCATTAAACCGTCTTCATTACTGATTGAAATATAGATTTAAAATGAAAATAAGTTAATGATATACAGTCAAAAAGAGCAATTGACCAATGATGATGGCTGCCATTAATGCCAATTTTTCTTTATAGATATTTTGAAAGAAAAACAAATTAAAGTAGCAAATTTTTTAAGTTTTATATTTGGTTCAATATTTTTGAACTTATTTTGTTTTTGTTTCAGATACCAGCCCCAGGATATTTACATCAGGACAGGTAACATATGCATCGGAAAGTAAGTATATTTTTTTTTATTTATTAATAGTTGTCTAATAGATATTAAAATAATTTGAATATGTATTACAGATAGACGGGAGCCAACAGAGAAGAAGAAGACAGTACAGTCCTAGACATGGAGATGATTAAATTGTAGATGCCAAGATGATGATGTAGGTATTTTGTTGTTACAATTGTACTTAAACTGTTAATAGTTGTAAGGTAATAAAATCAGTTTTCCCTGGAGAAACAGCTTGAAAATTTATTACAAATTAGTCCAAAATTTCTTTTCAAATTTATACTCTAATGAAAAAAGTATACTTGTACTCCAATTTAGGATTTGAATTAAAACATGCATCACATTAATTTCTGAATTAATTATAACAGCAAATAGTCTCTTAACATTGACAATTTGGAAACCCTTTCTCTAATAGTCTCACCTGTACGAAAGTAAAGTTTCCGATTGTCAATTTGGATATCTACATATTGAGTCGATTTTTTTTTTAAAGTAATTAGGAAAATATGACTTGATTTAGATTGTTTGAAATTCAGTTGAATTTTAATCATTTCTGTTCAAAATGTATACATCAGATTGTTTTGGTTAGCCACCAACTTCTGATAATTTGACACACACATTAATTTCGGAAATAATGATTATATCATTAAACCGTCTTCATTACTGATTGAAATATAGATTTAAAATGAAAATAAGTTAATGATATACAGTCAAAAAGAGCAATTGACCAATGATGATGGCTGCCATTAATGCCAGTTTTTCTTTATAGATATTTTGAAAGAAAAACAAATTAAAGTAGCAAATTTTTTAAGTTTTATATTTGGTTCAATATTTTTGAACTTATTTTGCTTTTGTTTCAGATACCAGCCCCAGGATATTTACGTCAGGACAGGTAACATATGCATCGGAAAGTAAGTATATTTTTTTTTATTTATTAATAGTTGTCTAATAGATATTAAAATAATTTGAATATGTATTACAGATAGACGGGAGCCAACAGAGAAGAAGAAGACAGTACAGTCCTAGACATGGAGATGATTAAATTGTAGATGCCAAGATGATGATGTAGGTATTTTGTTGTTACAATTGCACTTAAACTGTTAATAGTTGTAAGGTAATAAAATCAGTTTTCCCTGGAGAAACAGCTTGAAAATTTATTACAAATTAGTCCAAAATTTCTTTTCAAATTTATACTCTAATGAAAAAAGTATACTTGTACTCCAATTTAGGATTTGAATTAAAACATGCATCACATTAATATCTGAATTAATTATAACAGCAAATAGTCTCTTAACATTGACAATTTGGAAACCCTTTCTCTAATAGTCTCACCTGTACGAAAGTAAAGTTTCCGATTGTCAATTTGGATATCTACATATTTAGTCGATTTTTTTTTAAAGTAATTTGGAAAATATGACTTGATTTAGATTGTTTGAAATTCAGTTGAATTTTAATCATTTCTGTTCAAAATGTATACATCAGATTGTTTTGGTTAGCCACCAACTTCTGATAATTTGACACGCACATTAATTTCGGAAATAATGATTATATCATTAAACCGTCTTCATTACTGATTGAAATATAGATTTAAAATGAAAATAAGTTAATGATATACAGTCAAAAAGAGCAATTGACCAATGATGATGGCTGCCATTAATGCCAGTTTTTCTTTATAGATATTTTGAAAGAAAAACAAATTAAAGTAGCAAATTTTTAAAGTTTTATATTTGGTTCAATATTTTTGAACTTATTTTGTTTTTGTTTCAGATACCAGCCCCAGGATATTTACGTCAGGACAGGTAACATATGCATCGGAAAGTAAGTATATTTTTTTTTATTTATTAATAGTTGTCTAATAGATATTAAAATAATTTGAATATGTATTACAGATAGACGGGAGCCAACAGAGAAGAAGAAGACAGTACAGTCCTAGACATGGAGATGATTAAATTGTAGATGCCAAGATGATGATGTAGGTATTTTGTTGTTACAATTGTACTTAAACTGTTAATAGTTGTAAGGTAATAAAATCAGTTTTCCCTGGAGAAACAGCTTGAAAATTTATTACAAATTAGTCCAAAATTTCTTTTCAAATTTATACTCTAATGAAAAAAGTATACTTGTACTCCAATTTAGGATTTGAATTAAAACATGCATCACATTAATATCTGAATTAATTATAACAGCAAATAGTCTCTTAACATTGACAATTTGGAAACCCTTTCTCTAATAGTCTCACCTGTACGAAAGTAAAGTTTCCGATTGTCAATTTGGATATCTACATATTTAGTCCATTTTTTTTTAAAGTAATTTGGAAAATATGACTTGATTTAGATTGTTTGAAATTCAGTTGAATTTTAATCATTTCTGTTCAAAATGTATACATCAGATTGTTTTGGTTAGCCACCAACTTCTGATAATTTGACACGCACATTAATTTCGGAAATAATGATTATATCATTAAACTGTCTTCATTACTGATTGAAATATAGATTTAAAATGAAAATAAGTTAATGATATACAGTCAAAAAGAGCAATTGACCAATGATGATGGCTGCCATTAATGCCAGTTTTTCTTTATAGATATTTTGAAAGAAAAACAAATTAAAGTAGCAAATTTTTTAAGTTTTATATTTGGTTCAATATTTTTGAACTTATTTTGTTTTTGTTTCAGATACCAGCCCCAGGATATTTACGTCAGGACAGGTAACATATGCATCGGAAAGTAAGTATATTTTTTTTTATTTATTAATAGTTGTCTAATAGATATTAAAATAATTTGAATATGTATTACAGATAGACGGGAGCCAACAGAGAAGAAGAAGACAGTACAGTCCTAGACATGGAGATGATTAAATTGTAGATGCCAAGATGATGATGTAGGTATTTTGTTGTTACAATTGTACTTAAACTGTTAATAGTTGTAAGGTAATAAAATCAGTTTTCCCTGGAGAAACAGCTTGAAAATTTATTACAAATTAGTCCAAAATTTCTTTTCAAATTTATACTCTAATGAAAAAAGTATACTTGTACTCCAATTTAGGATTTGAATTAAAACATGCATCACATTAATTTCTGAATTAATTATAACAGCAAATAGTCTCTTAACATTGACAATTTGGAAACCCTTTCTCTAATAGTCTCACCTGTACGAAAGTAAAGTTTCCGATTGTCAATTTGGATATCTACATATTTAGTCGATTTTTTTTTAAAGTAATTAGGAAAATATGACTTGATTTAGATTGTTTGAAATTCAGTTGAATTTTAATCATTTCTGTTCAAAATGTATACATCAGATTGTTTTGGTTAGCCACCAACTTCTGATAATTTGACACGCACATTAATTTCGGAAATAATGATTATATCATTAAACCGTCTTCATTACTGATTGAAATATAGATTTAAAATGAAAATAAGTTAATTATATACAGTCAAAAAGAGCAATTGACCAATGATGATGGCTGCCATTAATGCCAGTTTTTCTTTATAGATATTTTGAAAGAAAAACAAATTAAAGTAGCAAATTTTTTAAGTTTTATATTTGGTTCAATATTTTTGAACTTATTTTGTTTTTGTTTCAGATACCAGCCCTAGGATATTTACGTCAGGACAGGTAACATATGCATCGGAAAGTAAGTATATTTTTTTTTATTTATTAATAGTTGTCTAATAGATATTAAAATAATTTGAATATGTATTACAGATAGACGGGAGCCAACAGAGAAGAAGAAGACAGTACAGTCCTAGACATGGAGATGATTAAATTGTAGATGCCAAGATGATGATGTAGGTATTTTGTTGTTACAATTGTACTTAAACTGTTAATAGTTGTAAGGTAATAAAATCAGTTTTCCCTGGAGAAACAGCTTGAAAATTTATTACAAATTAGTCCAAAATTTCTTTTCAAATTTATACTCTAATGAAAAAAGTATACTTGTACTCCAATTTAGGATTTGAATTAAAACATGCATCACATTAATTTCTGAATTAATTATAACAGCAAATAGTCTCTTAACATTGACAATTTGGAAACCCTTTCTCTAATAGTCTCACCTGTACGAAAGTAAAGTTTCCGATTGTCAATTTGGATATCTACATATTTAGTCGATTTTTTTTTAAAGTAATTAGGAAAATATGACTTGATTTAGATTGTTTGAAATTCAGTTGAATTTTAATCATTTCTGTTCAAAATGTATACATCAGATTGTTTTGGTTAGCCACCAACTTCTGATAATTTGACACGCACATTAATTTCGGAAATAATGATTATATCATTAAACCGTCTTCATTACTGATTGAAATATAGATTTAAAATGAAAATAAGTTAATGATATACAGTCAAAAAGAGCAATTGACCAATGATGATGGCTGCCATTAATGCCAGTTTTTCTTTATAGATATTTTGAAAGAAAAACAAATTAAAGTAGCAAATTTTTTAAGTTTTATATTTGGTTCAATATTTTTGAACTTATTTTGTTTTTGTTTCAGATACCAGCCCCAGGATATTTACGTCAGGACAGGTAACATATGCATCGGAAAGTAAGTATATTTTTTTTTATTTATTAATAGTTGTCTAATAGATATTAAAATAATTTGAATATGTATTACAGATAGACGGGAGCCAACAGAGAAGAAGAAGACAGTACAGTCCTAGACATGGAGATGATTAAATTGTAGATGCCAAGATGATGATGTAGGTATTTTGTTGTTACAATTGTACTTAAACTGTTAATAGTTGTAAGGTAATAAAATCAGTTTTCCCTGGAGAAACAGCTTGAAAATTTATTACAAATTAGTCCAAAATTTCTTTTCAAATTTATACTCTAATGAAAAAAGTATACTTGTACTCCAATTTAGGATTTGAATTAAAACATGCATCACATTAATTTCTGAATTAATTATAACAGCAAATAGTCTCTTAACATTGACAATTTGGAAACCCTTTCTCTAATAGTCTCACCTGTACGAAAGTAAAGTTTCCGATTGTCAATTTGGATATCTACATATTTAGTCCATTTTTTTTTTAAAGTAATTTGGAAAATATGACTTGATTTAGATTGTTTGAAATTCAGTTGAATTTTAATCATTTCTGTTCAAAATGTATACATCAGATTGTTTTGGTTAGCCACCAACTTCTGATAATTTGACACGCACATT